TGTTACATCAAAAGATGCCATTTTGTGCACTATTTCACACATTTTCTACAATTTTAAAATTCCACAATGCACCTTTCATGCTCAAAATATCACAATTTATAGATAAACCATTTCTACATGAGTGAAAAGAAAATTGTGACATTTTAATAAGAAGTTTCTGAGTTATAGACTTTTTAGTGAGCCAATACCTATTTGTCAACAGTGCTGGAGAAACACTCATATATATACCCAAGGGCCGCCCAAGACTAACATATAGAGATGTCTGCAAGCAAGACATGAGAACCACAGGCTCAGCGAAAGTACGTGGGAAAACATAGCCAAAGACCGGAGTGCATGTAGACAGACTGCGTGCTGGGACAACCCTTGCTGAGAACAAAAGAATTGAAGCGGCCTTAATCAAGAGGGAAAAAAAGAAAGCTGCCCTGTCCGCTAGCCCTGAATCAGAGGCATACACATGTACGAATTGTGGCAAAGTCTGCCGTTCTAGAATTGGCTTGATTAGCTAGCTACATTAGGCTCTGCCCCGTCTGAAGATTAAGCCAAAACCAGTGACTCATTTGGGCGCATCCATTGCCTTTCGAGACAAAAGGAGCCATATATATATATACAATATATCTAGACTAGATTTATAGATTCTATCTTTCTCAATATCTAGATCTAGTAATATGTATAAAGATCATGATCTCTAAAGCAGTAGATCTAGAAACTAGACTGAAGTTGAGTAAGGTAATAATGTTATCGATATATCTATCTCTAATTTATAATAATAATTTATAATTAAGTAAATAATTATAATTAATAATTTGGCAATGTCTTTGATTCCGAAGATTAAAAATGAGTGAATTGATTCACATGACTATGCAAACCCAGTTGTAACCTGAATATTTTTCCACACATGATGCTGGCAAATCTATTTTTTATTGTTTTCTTTGCCTGTCTTCAACTTGTAAGTAAGGGGTTTTCTTTGGGTCCCAAATGTCAAATGTGGCTTTTGCGAGAGCTGTGGCTTTTGTGAGAGCTTGCCAACTGTCTCTTTCAGAAGTCATCTACTAACAGCTATTTTCCTTTATACCAGTGAGGGTGAGGATAAAATGGCGCTTAAAGGAGGCACTATTATTAATTATGTATTAGCAATAGAATTCTAGGTCTAGATTATAATAAAAATATAATTTTAATAAATCTGAATCTATATTTTAATATTAAAATAGATCTAGATCTATAGTATGTATCTTCACCTAATATATATAATCTAAATCAATTAACAGTATATTCTAGATCTACATTCTTACTATGTAACTAGTCAAGGTACTTTTGGCCCATTCTAGTTTTAATATTAATCCAAGAAACGAAACGCATCCATGCAAAGTACATTTTTGACCATTGGAATATTCATGTTATATATCTCACTGCTCTATTTCGTATTTGTTCTAGATAGTGTCTACATTCTTACTATGTAACTAGTCAAGGTACTTTTGGCCCATTCTAGTTTTAATATTAATCCAAGAAACGAAACGCATCCATGCAAAGTACATTTTTGACCATTGGAATATTCATGTTATATATCTCACTGCTCTATTTCGTATTTGTTCTAGATAGTGTCTTAATGTTTTGTTGAGTTGAAGAATCCCAACAGCGGATGGATACTATATATAGCTCTAGTATAGATCTATTATTATATGAATTCCTACTGATCTCAAACTGCCGCTTTAAGGCGTGCTTCCGGTAACCAAGAAAAATTGCTGCAGCCGGAAAATCAAAGTACCTACTATCATCTAGACTCTACTAGTTAACTAGATCTAGATAATAGACTTAAAAGACTTATTATGACTTATAAAGTATTATTATTTATTAAATATACAGTATATTATATTATAATATATAGTATAATATAGATCTAAATTATTCTAAATAAGTTTAATAAGAGTTATTAGTCTCTAACTCTCTTCTACTATTATAATTAGATCTAGTCTAGATGATAGATCTATGAGTTGAGTATACTACACTCTACAGTATAGATCTAGACTCTAGACTAGGACTAGTACTAGGGCCAGGGCCAGTAGGAGACGTCACAAAGCACAATCACACGTGACAAGGACTACACTCTACAGTAGACTGACTAGACGGGTAGACTCAGACTGTCCTAAAAATGGACCTATCTTATAATCTTACTAATCTTAGTATCTAGATCTACATGTAGACTAGAGACAGAGAGTAGAGATGGGTCTTATCTTATATAATACAGACGTTACTTCAAAAAAGAAGATGATTACGTACTACGCGTCATGCATATTAACCAATGACTTAAATTCTGCCAAGTCACTGGTTTTTCTGGCTAGCTCAGGCAACCCATTCCATGCTCTAATAGCACTAGGGAAGAAGGAGTATTTGTACAAATTTGTCCTAGCATAGGGGACGAGGAATGTGCCTTTATTTTTGTGTCTTTCAGAGTATTTTATTAAGTTTTGTTTTTGTATTTGAAGATTATGGTTCAGTGTTTTATGTATTATTGCTACTTTACTTTTGAGTCTTCTGTCCTGATGGCTTTCTAAATTTAGTGATTTTACTAATGGTGTTACTCTAGTCAAATGTGAATATTCGTTTGTTATGAATCTCACTGCTCTATTTTGTGTTTGTTCCAGTTTCTTAATGTTTTCTTGAGTTGAGGGGTCCCAAACGGTGGATGCATATTCTATTATTGACCTAACCAAGGTTAAATAACATTTTAGTTTTATGTTCTTATTTGATTTATGGAAATTTCTTTTAATAAACCCTAATGCTTTGTTGGATTTTTTTGTAGTTTCATCAATATGTGGATTCCATGACAGTTTTTCATTTATTATAACACCTAGGTATTTTGCGTTTTTAGTCTGTGTTACTGATCTAGAATCATAAGAATGATTAATTATTATTATACAGTATACACTACAACTGTAAAAGTTTTATGAACTAGATCTAATAATAAACTCAATTTAAAACTGCGCTCACCTTTTTTTTATAACCAAATAATGAAGTTATCCACACAGTCAATGTATATATTAGATCTGGGTTGTGCTGACTTAGCTCTAAGATCTGGATCTAATATAGACTAGATTAGATATATATTTAATCCACACACATACATGATACACAAAAAAAATCCGTAAACATATACTTCATATAGATCTAAATTCTACACAGATCTACGCCATGTTGAGGGGAAAAATGGCAATAGTCTATTTCCGGGTCACCACCGGTTTCAGAAAGAGACGATTTTTTGCAGATGTTACATAGTGATCTTCCACATCTGGCGTCCCCAAAGTTTTGTCTCAATTTTTAATGGCTTGGTTAGCTTTATGTTGCTTGGAATATTACGAATATATGGCTTGGTTAGCTTTATGTTGCTTGGAATATTACGAATATATGGCTTGGTTAGCTTGATGTTGCTTGGAATATTACGAATATATATTTATATAGGTTATACTACTACATCAACCTAAGATCAACAAATAGCCCAGTGGCGTCAAAAAAAAGATGCGGGTCGCATAGCCCCCTCACCGGGTACCATCAGCCACTCACTCACTCAGGACCAATGCCACCAGAGACTAGAGTGGCATAGCAAGTTGAAGAAATATTGCAAAAGCGACTTCTTGAAAGACGGAGCTATGTCACTGGCGGATCCGGGGGGGGGGGGCGACCCTCAACTCGGCCGATTCCTCCCCCCCCCCCCCCCCCCCCCCAGGTTGAAATATAAATAATTAGTATATATTATTAGCATAACTAATAAATTCGTATACAAATTGAGAGTTTTCTTTATTAAAATTCTTCCCCTCCCTCGTCCTTCTATCGCGCCTACTCCCTCCCCCCCCCCATCTGCCATTGATGGAGGGGCTGTGTACAGCTTCTATAAAGGGTACGGCTAGGGCATATCACATTTGCGTATCACATATCATATTGGACCTTCTGTCATGCAGTGCCCCCAACGGCCCGTAAAGTCCCGGTCCACTGAATATATGCCCGGATGCCTTTATCTGTTATGTTAGTTTTCAATAGAAAATATAGCTCTCCATAAGGGAATGAGTACAAGGAATTTTGTAAAACACAAGTTATGTATGGCGCATTCTTTAATGGAGTCACCTCCCTTACATGTAAAGCTGTGATTATTTAATGCTTATCTCCCTTTGAATATTTCCTCTCTTTCGATTTATGCATGTAGAATTTTCTTGCATTATTTATAAACATGTTTTACTTAAATGCTTAATGATACATTATGCTACTCACTTGCAATATTAACATTTTTTTAAAGTCTCTTATCTTATATAATACAGACATTACTTCAAAAAAGAAGATGTAATCACTAATAAACTGCAGACCTCTGAAACTTTAATACCATAATTAAACAGTAAAGGTTTGAAATACAGAGAGGAAATGTGACACATGATAACCCAAGATAGATATAAACCCATGATCCATTTATGGCTAAGGAATATAATCTATTACCATTATCTATTGTCATATGCTAGGACAAATTTGTACAAATGCTCCTTCTTCCTTAGTGCTATTTAGAACATGGAATGGGTTGCCTGAGCTAGCCAGGAAAACCAGTGACTTGGCATAATCTAAGTCATTGCTGAACATGCATGTCAAGATGCATGACAGGTCGGACGTAATCATCATCTTTTTTGAAGTAACGTCTGCATTATATAAGACAAGAGTCCATTCTCTTGAGACAGAAAGAACCATAAAATCAACAATCATCGAATATACTTTGCACATTTTAAAGTCTATTTTATACAAAGTTTTGTTTTAGTAAATTTTTTTTTTTTTTTTAATTAAATGTCTACAGTGTCATGTTTAACATAAAACCTATGTTGGTTAGGTGAGTCATACTACACACAATGTGATTTTTTTTTTCTTTTAGTGCAAATTAGTCTGTTCAAAAATGGAAAATTATTTTTTAACTAAACAAAACCCCAATTTTTCTATTTTATTAAGAACTACAAATAAATAATCAAAGCCATTTATCATTTGTAAGCCCTTTTTTATTCCATATTGCATCTATGTCATGCTACATTGTCATTAAAATTAAAAAAGAAAGTAAAACGCCAACACCATTCACTTTTATTGCATTCCATATCTGATTACTATTGAAAGAATATTGATTATTGAAACAAAAACTCAAATATCTAAGAAACAAAACAAGAAGCATTTTTATTCTTCAAATATTTTGTATTTCATTTTAATAGTAAAATGCTAAGTGATTATTGGATCATTGAGAACAAGACAAATATTAGTTTACAATAGAAATCTTATCAAATTGAATTTCTTTATAATAATATTTTTTAATGACAAGAAAAATCTATTGTAATAAAAGCTCACATGCCTAATACAGAAATACTTTTAAATATCTGAAATGTAAAAAAAAAAAAAAATTTAAATTAACTTTAATAATTAGCAATCATAGGAGGTGTACACAAGTTTTCAATTAGTTTTTTTTTTTTTTTTAAATTTAGTAGAGTAGTAGTAAATTTAGATGCTAGTTAAGTCCATATGGCAATAATATATAGAACAATAAAAACAACACAAGATACAGATATTTTACAAAGAGAATTAGATAAAATTACAGAAATGGGAATCAAATTGGAGCATGTCTTTCCACCCAGAAAAATGTCAGTTGTTAAAAGAGTAACAAATAAACTAAAACAAATTAATTCCACTTATCTTATTCATGACAAACCAGTAACACAGACTAAAAACGCAAAATACCTAGGTGTTATAATAAATGAAAAACTGTCATGGAATCCACATATTGATGAAACTACAAAAAAATCCAACAAAGCATTAGGGTTTATTAAAAGAAATTTCCATAAATCAAATAAGAACATAAAACTAAAATGTTATTTAACCTTGGTTAGGTCAATAATAGAATATGCATCCACCGTTTGGGACCCCTCAACTCAAGAAAACATTAAGAAACTGGAACAAACACAAAATAGAGCAGTGAGATTCATAACAAACGAATATTCACATTTGACTAGAGTAACACCATTAGTAAAATCACTAAATTTAGAAAGCCATCAGGACAGAAGACTCAAAAGTAAAGTAGCAATAATACATAAAACACTGAACCATAATCTTCAAATACAAAAACAAAACTTAATAAAATACTCTGAAAGACACAAAAATAAAGGCACATTCCTCGTCCCCTATGCTAGGACAAATTTGTACAAATACTCCTTCTTCCCTAGTGCTATTAGAGCATGGAATGGGTTGCCTGAGCTAGCCAGAAAAACCAGTGACTTGGCAGAATTTAAGTCATTGGTTAATATGCATGACTAAATGCATGACGCGTAGGACGTAATCATCTTTTTTGAAGTAACGTCTGTATTATATAAGATAAGAAAACAAACATATAATCAATTCCAAAATAATTTCCATTAATATAATTTTGTAAATACTTTCCTTTCCTTTAAATCAAGAAAAAATAGAAATTTATCATGTTAAAGGCTTCACTTGCAGTAGACAAAGAAGACAAAGTTTATGGTTAAAACTTGGTCAGCAAGATATTCCCACCAATGCCATATAGAAAGAAATGGTTAACTATGGGCTTCCCAATAATCAAATTATAAACTTTGAACCAGGACCTATAGAATTATAATCCAAAAACAAAGTTTTGGTATAATTAAAGTATTATTGCAAGAGTACCTAGAATTTGAAATATTTTAACTTTGCAAATTAAAAATAAACAACATGTACATATAATATAATGTGTTACTTCAATCAAAAACTGCAATAAACTAATAAAATGTACATTATAAATTATTTTTTAAAAATTACCTCCTATGATTTAGAAAAAAAGAGAAAAAAAGGTTAAAATCCACTATGATAATTTCTCTATTGTCAGATCACTAAAAAAATTAAAAAAGCTAATATATCTGTTAAAAAAAATTGTTTTTTTTACATCGAGTAAAATATATTAAGAAAGACATTGGTTGAACATCAGAGACACATAATGTAGGTATTAGCAAAATATAGATCTATATTATTTATACAGTCATATCGTTAACACCAATACTAAATAAACTAAATTTATCTCCATATTACTAATATGAGATTAATTTGTAAAATAATAAATGCATGGATGAAGCCTATATTAGCTTATGGCCTAAACAAAATGAATTAGTCCAGCTACTTAGAATGAGAGTGTCTATCAAGCCAGGTCTTAAAGGATATCACATTAAGTCATGGGTTCTAGGTCTAAAGTGGAGTAAATATAACAAGAACCTTTTTTCATTATAACATGCAAGAGACTAATTAATTGCAATTATGCGTCATATAGTCCCTGTTTATTTTTCTGCAAAGTACAATAATGCCAAACACTAATTTAATCTTTATTCGTAAAAAAAAAAAAAGTTTTTCCTTTAAAATTCAATATTTATGTCATTTTATTTAATAAGATTTTGTGATTTCTTCAGACCAGAGTATCAACCTTGGTTATTGCTTGAGACCAGGCTGACATGGTTGGAGACCAATTGTTATAGTAACCGTCAGCACAGACCTGTGATATTACAACCTGTGGACAGTTAAGACAAATAGCCCAATGGTAGCCTGTGATGTGGCAATGAGCAATTAGTCTAAACTGCCCACATTTTGTGATATGGCAGGTCAGTTTTGAGGCTTACTATAACAATTGGTATCATTTGGTTGCATTTATCTGAAACAGTTTGTAATTATTGAAAAAATATGACTTTAAAGGAGTAATGTTTGTTGTTTTTATCTTGGGGAAAAGGAAGATGAAAACTTCATAAGCCTACTCAAGAGTTTCTTCTGAGAAAAAAAAATGCCTTTTAAACAAACATTTAGTCTAGTGTATCAATTCTAAATTTATTTGTTATAAGCAAATAATTGAGCTCTTTGGAATAAACAATGTTTTTTATAGTCTCATCACATCAATACCTGGCCCAATTCTAATTTTTTAAATTATAAACAAATATTTGATCATTTTTCAATTTGACATTGGTATATTTTCACCACATCAGTATTTCATGTATGCACAACTTTCTCATAGTGGCATAAGAAATGAATATTTTATACTATTTATTTAGACTTGTTTAGGTCTGACGTATTCAAGGGAAAGATAGTTCAGCATAAATAGCAAGCAAAGTCTGAAAAAACTGAGTGAAGCACTGAATCATTCCAGCCTTCTTAAACAGTATAACAACACATTTAACCAGACAAACTAACAAGTACATATAAAAGTTACTTAAACATAATGAATTAATACTGTTAAATAAAATTGTATGCCCTAAAATACATTTTCAGAGTATAAAAACAACCAATACCACTTACTAGTACATTTAGTGTTATGTACTAAATGATATAATATATTTTACTAAATGTTTTATACATGTTTTGGACATTACTCTAAAATTGAATATAGATCCAAGCTCAGATTTCAATCAAGGCACAATAGCCAAATGGGTTTCAAATTAGAGATTTTTAAAGCTCCTTACCACAAGACCAGGCAGCCAGATATATATGAATGTTGTCTTGGAATGACAGCCTGGTCAAGTGGTATTTTCTTTTGACTGCCATCACAATGGTCCTCACCCTGTAGAAGAAAAACTATATGGGAAGCTGCCTGATCTGGAAACCACTTTGGAATTCATCTTAGATATGGACCACTTGTCTGAACTCTCCAACATAACAATGAAGAAGAACAATGGACCTAAGTGGAACTTGCCCACTTCTATCCTTTGCCATCCTGCAGGAGGTTTAGACTACAACCAGTGGTGTAGCTAAGGTGAGGGGAGAATTTGAAAATCCCCCGGGCCCCCAAACTAGTGTTTTTATATTAAATATTGTGCAAAATGCAGGGGGCAAAGAGATAAAGCCCCCAACTGGAAAATTCCTAACTTCACCCCTAAGAACAACCTAATAATCTTCATTTATCAAGGAATGTCTAAAATGCATAAAACAAAAGACATAAAACAATGTTACATTTTTATCAAAATTATGTTTTTATACATAAGATAGTATTGTTTTTGAATAGTATACAGTAAGATAACATGCAGTACATAAAATGTAATTATGAAAGTTGAATGAAGATGTACATTATTTACAAAAAAAGTGTCAAATTTAAATTTTGGAAACTTGCATATAAAAAAGAATATTATAGATTTTGTGCTTTCTAAAAAAAAAAAAACTTAGATATGTAAATATAAATTTTTGTTAATTTTCTTTCAGGCACTTCAGTTGTTTTTTTTTCAACAAAATTTTTGTTCTAATTATAAAATTGGATTTTCGATAAGCAAAGCTTTATATTTTTTTATTGTTAAAATATGTACGGAAGGCACGATGTAAGATTAAACAAAAATCATGACATAGATGCGTAGTGAATACAAGCTAAAAACTTATATAACAAAAAATATAAACTTAATCCCAAGAACACCCAGTTACAGCTATATATAAGTGAAATAATTTTGGCATTAACCTAAGCAATGCCCTTTTGTGAAAGTTTTCATTGAGCTATATTGTAATACAAAACAAAAACATTTCTTTTATTCAGCTGTTCATTCTTTGATGGTCTAGTTATTTTCAATGACACAACAGCCAGCCTCATCTGGATTACGTCCCTAGATTAAAAGAAAACAAAAAAGTTAATTTGAAAAAATTTATTAAAAAAAATGAAACTATTTTGACCATTTATTTATATGATTACTTTTCATCAGTGGCTTCATTCCAAGTGTGCAGTAACATTACGCATTATTATTATGACAATATTATAAAAGAGAGTCAACTTGTTGGAAACATCCATGAAATAGCACCTCAAGAAGGTCCAGAAAACACTGCACTACATTTTATTTATTAAAATGTTGTCATCAAACAGTACATGTTTTTTTTTATTACTCTCTAGCGTGGTAGGAACCAGAAACACGGTGGCTGACCGGTAAAGCGCTTGTCTTCCAAACCAAGGGTCCCGGGTTTGAATCCTTGTGAAGACTGGGATTTTTAATTTTGGGATTTTAGGGTGCCTCTGAGTCCACCCAGCTCTAATGGTTACCTGACATTAGTTAGGGAAAAGTAAAGGCGATTGGCCATTGTGCTGGCCACATGACACCCTTGTTAACTGTGGGCCACAGAAACAGATGACCTTTACTTTTTTTTAATGGTCATTATAATCTCATTTTTAATCTCCTCATTTGAGAACCTGAGATCTGAGAACCTATATCACCAAGAGCCAACACAGAATCAAGAAAAAGAGTCACAGTGAAAACAAAAGCAATGTGAAAGTATTTGATCTTCCATCTGACACCAAGTAACAGATCATGTTCCCTAGTACAAACAAAGAATTATTATTGTCCTTATTTCTTTTGTATGGCAAAATGATCATACTCAAGTAGCATGCTCTATGCGTTCTGGTCCTATCTTCTTTGTTTACATATGCTGGAGGGATATCTTATCAGGGACAAAATTTTCATGCTGCCTTTAGCTGCTCAGCAAACACAGCTCAGCTTGAGATAAATTTCAAATAAAAAATCCCTAGTGTATATTGGAATTCAAACTTCAATACTATCAGGTGGTCTAGTGGATTAGCCCAGCCAACCACACTTCCCACAAAAAAAAAAGTAATCGATTTACATTAGCTATAGGTTAAAACAGTTATTCAGTTATTTCAGCATTGACTAAAAGACGCAACAGTTATTCAATCATTTTAACATAAGCTACATGCCACATGATCTATGCAGCCATTGTAGCACTGCAAGTCACAATGTTATTCTGTCATTCATTGTGGACTTCATATCTCAACAGTCTTTCAGTTATCATGGTAATTTTTAAAGTAGTTTTGTCTAAAAATTACATATGGGTACTAACCATTTTTCAACCTATTTCAAAAAACCCACACAAAAGAGTTACTTTTTTGTTTGAATTAGCATTCTTTCACCCCAATAACATATTCCACATTTGTAATAAGTGTGATGTTTATTTGAGACATAACTTACAAATGGAGTCCTTCTGCCATATTTGGACCAGAATGTTACTTTGGATGTTACAGCTTTGCCAGTTCTTTCATCGAAACACTGACAAACATCAAATGGTGGACTGGAAAAGTATAAAAAAACACAAAAAACATATTTTTAGTGAAATATTCAAAGAGCTATAGTTTAGTTTTAGGGCTTCTCCATATTATTATAGCTGAACAATTTAAATAAATTGATCAACCAATCAGATTTAGAGCAGAGTTAAAAGCCAAAGAAAATATGGCTGCCTGGTCATGGGGTATGCACTCTGGACTGTCATCTTGATGGTTCCAGGTATTAAAAATTCCATCCTCCAACTCCAACTTTCCTGCAGGAAGTTTGGGCAAGGATGTATTAATCTTAAAATCTAATGGAACATACAAAGAAAATTTAAAAAATCCTTTGTAAACTGGTCACCATGAGTCATGGTAAGTTCTGTTTTTTTCCCCATTTTCCAATAACAAGTAATTGAAATTAATTGTATTAACCATAAACTGGACAATATATAGATATACAGTTTGAAAATAGGATTGAAATACAAATACCCCTTCATCCCTAGTACTTTTAGAGCATGGAACGGGTTGCCTGATTTTAAGTCATTGATTTACTTTCATGACTATATTGACCTAGGAACACACAAAGAAAATAAACATCTTCTTTTTTGAAGTAATGTCTGTATTGAATAAGATAAGAAGATAAGCAATAATCTTATCATCATCATCTCAGCCTCTGGTCCCATCTGGGACATAGGCCACCAACAAGCTTCCTCCAGGCGTCTCAGTTCTAGGCAAGTCACTCCAACTGTTCCTACATCTTGCCCATCCCAGTAGAGATAATGGTATTCAGCCTGATGGCTTTCAAATGACTCTGGCTTTATGGACCAGCATCATACTCCTTCCAGCTGAAGGTTCTTCTCCCAAAGCTGTAACATCTGTTGGTTAGCTGTTGGTGTTTTTTTAGCTGGTGGTTTTTCAATTATTATTTCTTTTTTTTTTTTTGTTGCACCCAATACTTTAGTTAAATAATTTTAAACATATGAATTACCTGTATAGGTGGAGGGTCACAGCTTTGTTGATGTGGCTGACATTTTCAACTCGGTGAAGGCCAAGGCTATCTAAGTAAAAGAAATGTGTTATTTATTAAATTATATTTATAATGATTCAAAAACAGGGAATTGTTTTTTTTTCAATTATTCAATAAGATAAAAAAATATGTATACATAATTTAATTATCACTAAACACACTAAACTTATTTAAAAAACTGTCTTTCTCCATTGGTCCTTAAGTCAATGCCCCTAAGACACTACAACACTGGCCCAAGGACAGTAACTTTTTATTTCTATCCTAGATAATGTTTATGACGCAACTAAGAAAAATCTGCTAACATACGAAATAACTTGTCGGCAAGGCAACGCTTCATCCAAACTGTTGCGCTGTCTAGAAAACATAAAAAGGGCATCATAAAATACACTCACAACATTACCACATTTAAAGGAACTTTTTGAACAAAAGTGTCTAAGAAAAATATAAAAAATCTTAGAAGACAATGGCCATCCGCTCCATCAGAACTACATCAGGTCGTCGCGAAGTAGGCGATTGCTGCCAATCAAAACAAGAACAGAGCGGTACAAAACGTGTTCACACCTCACTCTGTTAGACTATATCAACGCCACTCTTTGATCAGGAAACATGAAAAGGACCAAGATGCCTGTGTTATTCGCTGAATTAACTCTTTATGTTGTGTCTGTTCTATTTATGTGTATGTTTCTGTTGTGTTGTCTTTGTATGAGAAACGAGTCCTTGTAATCACAACAAATTTCCATAAGGATCAATAAAGCAGTCTTAGTCTAACACAAGACAATCTAATCACACTCACACACAAAAATTCCTCTTATCTTAAAAGTTAATTTCTATCAACAAACTCTATAGATCTAACTATACATTCATTCCACTTACCATTGATATATGCACATTGGTCTTTGTCATATTCATTTTCAGCACATTTTTTCATGGTGCCTTCAGAATCTGGCCATTCAAAGAGCTCTTCTTTCACTTTACCATCTATGACCTTTACAAAAATAATCAAACTTCTATAGACCTATTTTTTAAACACATCTATTTATAAATAAATACTGTTTTTTTTTTTATTGCATCACTGATATGAAATGTTATACAACAATGAAATATGCTAAATACTTTCATAGATTCTTTAATAAGTACCTAGTCTTAAGTTGACTTTGATTTTTTAAATCAACTTTAAGATCAATTTGAATGCAAAAATGTGGTTCTTTACTAAAAGTGGGAAAGGTTTTAAAAAAAAGGCAAATATAGGTTCAGGTGTTTTGCCCTACAGGTTTTCAAATTTGATGCAACTTCCCTCTTGTGTGTCACTAAGGGAAAGAGCTTCAATGGTATTTTAAAAAAATTTCTTTTGTATATTTCAATTTCTCCTGTAGCCCTGTGGCAGCTAGTGGAGCATATGGAAGAAGGTTTCTGTGCTGCCATAAGATGCTTAACACTGAGTTGGGATCCGAACTCGAGCCTCCTAATAGTTAACCAATCTCAGTAGCCTCCCTTAGACTAGCGCAATGGTAAAAATGGCCCAGAGATTCTCAGATAATTCTATTTTATTTTTTTTTTATTGCTGATTACTTCATTAATTAATTAATAATAAATTAATCAAATCAATTAATTTAGCAACTTTTTTTTTTCAAGAGTACACACAACTCTTTGGGAAATCTTGACTTGTCAAGTGTTAACATGTTGCACAATATTGCGCATTAGTGACTCGTACATTTTTATGTGTACATTTGCTTGCTAGACAAGATTCAGTGTGGACTAAACTAGTTGAAGTCTTATCTTACTTTGAGAAAGCAGTGTGAGTTAGCGTGGGAATGTATACTGCTGCCCTGGCCTTCGTTCCAACAAAGTATCATTAAATTAAATTTGCCATTGCCTGCATCGACCAAGTTTCTTGTGTACCTGTAGAATAGATATCCAGTTAAGTGTTAACAAGTAACATAAAAAAAAAGCTGACTAGAAACAATAGGCCTATATAGCCTTAGTACAGAGCTGGCATTTAGACATCATCAAACTCCATTTGAGTGAGGACTTGAGAGGCTTAAATCCTCTCTTGTAAAAGCCCTGGACAGAAACCCTGCTTTCTTGTGTAGTGCATAAACGTCACCATACAGGTCGAGAATTTTAGGTTTCCCAGATCTGTCCAGGCGGAAATCAGCAAGTCTGGGGCAGTCTAATAGAATAAGAGGCACGGTTTCCTCTTCTTCCCCGCAGTGGGGGCACAGTGAATCGAAATTCGATCATAGCCTTGAGAAATATGAGCCAACTGGACAGTGACCTGTCATGCACTGTGCTATAATAGCTTGCTCAGGCCTGGACAGCCTCCACCGCGGGGAAGTGCGGTCAGGGAGCCTCATGCACTACCAGACTCCACGGGCTTTTTGGGACTTGTCCCAGCACTCAAACCACTTTTCCATTTCTGTTTTTTTAAATTATAGACAGAACATGATGAAAACTTACAGCCTGTTCAGTGGGTGGAAAT